CCATTTGGCCTCTCAGGGCCACCGTAGTAAGGACCCAAATGCAGGAGAAACTCAGAAAGAAACTCCGAGGCAGCAGAACTACTGAAGTAGACAAAATAATTCTGGATAAACAGAAACTAAGAACCATGAACCACACGGCGCATACAGGAAAGGTAAATAAGAACAAATCTCATCTATATGTTATTTACAATAGAACACAAAAATGTCTCAGGAGAGCTGGGGACAAGAAACTAGGACACCAAAGGAAACATGAGCAAACTAAAAAAAACATCAATGAAAAATGGTCAGACTGGGTTGTTGACTCATACATTCAGAACATGTCATGGTTTTAGTCTATTAAGTATTTAGTGCAACATTTAGAAACATTGCAAAAGAAACAACTGTATAAATTAGCATAATTTCTGTCACATTACAGTAAAAATTGGACCGCATCCTCTTTACAGTAAGGACAAATCTGTGCTTGTCCACTAACTGCACTCAGCTTTTATCCGCAGATAGTTGTGGTGATCAGCTGGTCAGAAGTTTACCGTGCACGTTCATTGGACAGGGTCGCAGTAATTTTCTCTAACCAGTGTTTTCCATCGTGTGGCTGCAGTATTCAGTATTATCCACTAAACAACTAAATCTCACATCTAAAAGCTGTTTCTGAAATGGAGCTGCAAGTCTTACTGTGGTTGCACCCTCCAGATGGCAGGCTGTGTCCTGACATCTACTTCTCCCCCTGGTGTCGTTTAATGTTTGTATCCAGGAGTGCTACTGGGGAGTCGTGGCAGGAGATCATGTTGTCTTGTCTGGGAGGACAGAAGTGTGAAACGGACCCATTGCTCCAATCAGAGTCGACAGACCCGGAAGGGGGCTGTGGTTCCGACTTTGCCTATTTCTACTTTGTTTCATTCATCTTTTTTAGCTCCTTCCTGGTAAGAGAAAAGAATCTTGGCGATCGCTCACCCCTTTGTTTATTTGCAACAAGAATAATCATAATTTTTCCCACAGCACATTTGGCACATGTATATGTAGCTTGTGCTTTCTCCATTCAGATGCTGAATCTGTTTGTGGCTGTAATCATGGATAATTTTGAATATCTCACCCGAGACTCGTCCATCCTGGGTCCCCACCACCTAGATGAGTTTGTTCGAATCTGGGGGGAGTACGATC